GCTGCTTATCAGACTAGCTCAGGTCATCAGCTCACATAGTCCTGGGCGTTGGGGCTTCAGTGAGGTGTGGTACATTCTTTTAGACATGTAGAATTCAGCTACAGGTGTAATGAACCTGTTGGTACTACCTATTACAGCTGGGTCGAGTTTGATGACCAACCTGCTAGTCATGCAGAGCAGCAGCGCCCTCTTGTGGACTTGGTGACATGAGGTGAGACAGATGCTGAAGGCAGCAGCTCCTAACTTCATCAATGATATTGTTGTACTAGCAGTATTTGTAACAGGGTCTAAGACTTGTAATCCTGAGGGATTACTTGGTGAATGAACGCAATTCCACCACACCCCCTTGCATGCATGTATGCACCAGCATGTCTGTCTCTCACATGCTTAAGTGCAGATACCCTCCAGCAAGATGGTGTTTCCCTGTGGTTAGCATGTTGAAGTATCCACTGATGATGGCTTTGCAACTCATGATACTTAAAACAAACTCAGAGTTTAGAACAGCATTCCCTGTTTTTGTCTGCTGTCAGCATCCGTATAGGACAGGAATTCCCACATGTGGGAACAAATAATCCAGTTTCAATGTCCAGGTTTTGATTATGTGCTGTCTCAAACATTAGCCTGAGAAAACTTGGGGGAATGTCGTCAATCATTTGGACAAACGTTGTCCAGGACCTGCACTAAGGAAAAATGTGCTTGTGAAGGTTCTGAGCCACCCCGCTCGTCCAAAGGGCGCAAATGAAGGTAACTGGACTTGTTTGGTTTCTTGAAGACGTTTTGCTTCAATTCTGAGAACTGACAAAGCTCCTCGGATGAGAAGCGAAACATCTTCAAGAAACCAAACAAGTCCAGTTGCCTTCATTTGTGCCCTTTGGGAATGGGGCCATGTGAAGTGGATACCAAACGTCTACACGCCCCTGGTAAGAATTCCTGTGCTGTACAAAAATGAGACAAGGATAAATAATTTCAGAGATCTGTCCACCTTTACTGTGACCCGTAAACTGTACCACTCAGCTGAAAAACAAACTGAAATCATTTAGGTGGAGGGAGGAAAACCAAAAACACTTCCTCTATGCTGGAAACATTACCGTAATAAGTGTAGTAAATGCTCCCTATATTGTAAAACACCCAAGAGAGCTAGCACCCGCTATGACAGTGTGTTTATCTACTTATCAGCTTCCTGTGACTCGTCTTTTCTCGTCATCTAGAATATTCTGGCGCTGATCCGTAACTGGAAACAACCATGAAACTCACAAAACAGGAGTGAGGGGTTGCAGTAACCACATTAGACCACAGGATGCCATCTTAGTTTATTCTTACACACTGCACCTTTAAACTAGTGCTTTGTTGAAGCACCTTCTGATTTTTGTAGCACTCAGGTTTTAGGGTAGGAGTCTATCAGCATGGCACATTTTGACTTAGGAAGATTTGCCCACTCTTCCTTGCAGAAAAACTCAAACTCTGTCAGACTGTGAAGGCATCTCCTGTGCACTGCCCTCTTCAGGTCACTCCACAGATTTTCCATCGGATTCAGGTCTGGGTTCTGGCGGGGCCATTCCTTTGCTGATTTGGATGTGTGCTGGTTGTTGTCACGCTGAAACCTTCCGTCTGCTAGCAGAAGCCTGAAGGGTTTGTGCCAGTATTGACTGGTATTTGGAAATGTTCATAATTCCTTCCATCTTAACTAAAGCCTCAGCTCCAGCTGAAGAAATCACCCCCAAAGCATGACACTGCCACCGCCGTGCTTCACCGTGGGTATGGTGTTCTTTTGGTGATGTGCAGCATTGTTTTTGCACCAAACATATTTTTTGGAATGATAGCCAAAAGGTTCCATCTCGGCTTCATCAGACCGTTCCCCACATGCTTTTGGGAGACTGCAGATGTGCTTTTGCTAAACGTAGCCTGGCTTGGACGTTTGTCTTCATAAGAAAAGGCTTTCATCTTGCCACTCTACCCCATGGCCCAGATTTGTGAAGAACACAGGAGATGGTTCTCACACAGCCAGCTCCTCTAATGTTGCTGTGGGCCAGCCTCCCTGACTGAAGGGACGTCTGGTCCTTGCTGATGTCACTGTTGTGCCATATTTTCTCCACTTGATGATGATCTTCACTCTGTTCGTGGTATATCTAATGCCTTGTAACCTTCTCCTGACTGATGTCTTTTAGCGAGATCCCTCTGATGCTCTGGAAGCTCTATGTGGACCGTGGCTTTAGCTGGGATGCGAGTAAAGAATGTCAGCAAAGACCAAGTAGAGCAGCTGAACTTTATCTGAGGCACTCTAAACGATGGCAGGTGCATGCTGACTCCTGTTGAACACGATTTTGAATGTGATTGCTTAATTCTGAACACAGCTACATCACACTTGTGCCACCACATCATCGTATTGTTTTGGTCTCCTGCTCTAACCCTAACCTAAAAGGTTTCAGTTTGTGGTCAGGGTCATAGGTCACATCACAGACTCGTTTTTGTACAACACAGGAACCTGACATTTTACCAAAGGTGTGTACACGTGTCATATCTACTGTGTGGTGAGACATTGGGCACCATGGCATGGGCTAATCTGGTCCTCTTAGATTAAGCCTACTTGAAGATTAAATCTGTGCCGATTGAGCCTTCATTAGCTGTGTGGAATACAACTAGACTGTCCAGGAGTTTGTTGCTCCCTGCTTAGGTCAGGTCTAGCATGTTCTCCTGACTCAGTAATTACCAGGCGGCTGAATGCGTCCTAACCCAGCAGCACATGGTGTCTGCAGCCCAGGCTGGAATAAACAACATGGATCTGAACCGAGAGCTCTCTTTTGGGGGGCATTATGGTGCAAAGCAGCTGTTCATTCCCCCAAATATTTGTGGTTGAGATAATGCGAGCGGTGCAGTGAGTCAGGAAGCGCGTGACAATGTGAATAATGAGTCATCTGCTGTGGCCACCAACACAAGCCTCACGTTGACTTTCTGCAGCTCCAGCTTCCGTTTCCACGGGAGACATCTCCTCTTCCACAAGCAGCTGACTCTGCAGCCAAGCTCGGGTCATGTTTCACAAACGGAAGGGAATGAGCAGTAAACGGGAGTGCTTTGGGATGCAAATGAAAGGATGTTAATTAACACATGTTGATAGTTGGGTGCTCGTTCCAGGGCCTCTGATTGAAAAGAAACGGCACCTCGGAGCATCTATAGAGCTTTGAACTTATCTTTGATTGGCCGTAGGAAGACAGGTAGACTGAGAAATATCACACACAAGGCTTCTTAATGGAGCGGCTGAAGGGGTGAGGGACGTGTGTGTTTCAGGATGGGGCAGCAGGTTTGTTCTGAATTCACATGTCTGCTCTGACCACGATGACACCAGAAAGGAGCCTTTGTTGTCTGCCTTCAGGGCTCTTATTAGGGAAAATAATCTCCACCCTGGAATAAATCTCCACCCCCTTCAATGTCAGAAGAAGTGAAGACTAATTCCCGTCGCTGCCTCTCAGCTGTTGCCATCAGAGCCATGGAAACCGGAACAAACCACCTAAGTTATCAAACTTCCTTCTATCCTTTCCTAAAATGCAACCAAGGCCCCAACTTGCTACCCAACCAGGGCAAAAAGATGTAATTTGATGATTTAAACGAACAAACAACAAAATAGCACAAATTACTATTAAAACATGGACGTGTTTGTGAGCCAGCGGCTACGTAAACACCGCGGCGCTGAGCACAAACGTGGCTCTGAATGCAGAGTAGGCCTCCAGCCTTCTTCAGCAAGATCTCTGGTGGATCATTTCTCCTTCCCATCTTCAGAAGGAGCCACACACCCTCGGCTCTAATTGGTCATTCGTTGTTCTTGTTGGAAACCCGCTCTTGCCCGTGAGACCAGGTCTGGCAGTCATCTCCCTCTTCCTGCGTACCTCTTCAGTCTGTCTGACATCTCCAAGCAAACAAGAGCCCAATACACAACCAGAGCCGAGGAGGCCCTTCTGCAGGAGCAGCCCCTTCTAGTGTTTGTGTGACAGAAAAGGCAAGGCAAATCCTCACAATGGAATCAGATAATCACCAACCTGTGAAGAGCCTTCTCCAATCCACATCCACACCAGTCCAGGCGGCCCCCCACCCCAGATCCTGGATTAACTGTCTGTTTGGCTAATAATTTGAATCTACTGGACTGGTCAGCAGGAACAAACATCTAATCTGAGGGACCGTTTGCTATCGATGTTTCCACGGAAACCCAGAGTCACTCGGCAGAAAAAGATGACAGGCTGCTGCCAGACTGTGGCGGGCTGACATCGTCCAGTGGAATGCACACACGGAGCGTTTGGAGACCAGGCAGCTGCCGACGAGGAGGTACCGCAGAGATGTCTGTCTGGGACACATGTGTCACAACGGGGCAAACAGCTGGGGAGGGGGGCTGCGCTCACTGGTTCAGGTGAAAATGGATCCGTGAGACAGATCAAATGAATCAGCTGCTCATAAATCCCATTAAAGGAAGTGATGTAACAGGAAGCGGTTGGTTTACGTTCCCGCCACGTGCAGAGCAGATGGGTGATGCTGAAGCACTGGCAGGAAAAAACTAAACAGTTTAAAAAACTTATGACTGCTTTAACCTCTCCAGCCCAGATAAATGGATTCTGTGGTCACGTGTTGGTCCTAAAGCCCCGCCTCTTCGTTATTAATGCAAAAACATTTCTACTAAATGTAATATGATGTGACCCTATTTGATCATTCGTACTAAATGCAGATTTGCAACATAAATCAGACACTATAAAATAGAAAAACACTTGTAACTAAATAAAGTCAAACATCTGACTGGAACAGTCAAACGCCTGTTTTAGTCCTCAGCTTCTCCCTGATGAAACTTCCCCAGGTTTCTGGCCAATACACTCCTCCGCTCAGTGTTGTTTGAAGTATGGCCACTTAGATATCCTGTTTGGGATGGGGCTGTATAATGTAGCACCTTTGTTCTGATAAGAGCCCCTGCCCCCATCCGCAAAAAGTGCGAGTCTCTGGGAGGGGCGCGGTGATATAAGGGGCCG